AAAGTTTAATTTGTTGTCACTTTGGCTCTTTTAAGACTCAATTTCTGCTGCCAAAAACTGTTTGGGGAGACTTGGCATGAGTCTGTGTTTGTGGATGTGCAGCAACAAACAGTGAGACAGTAGTGCCAGCTGTTTGTAGTCCAGGCATAGAGAAGGACAATTTTCCTGGGAATTAGTGGTTGCACTGGTATTCCACACACACACACACACCTTCCCCTCTCAGCAAAGTATGAGACAGACAATAAAAGAGGATTTACTGTTGCAATGTCACACCTGTTCTTCCCGCTTCCTTTTTTTCTGATGTTTCTACACACTCACGAGTCTCATGCCTGCAAACTGCGTCTTAAAGGTGGTCGATCAAACATTTAATTTTCCTCCAGTCCTGACAAAGGCCTCTCACTAAGACAAACCGCTTTATCGACTGGCGTCCAGAGAGTCCCGGCAGCTATTATAGCAGCAATGAGCGACTGGCCGAGTCAATAGACTTTCTATTAGTGGACTGCTCTCTTAGCCTCAAGCCAGCACACACACAGTGAGAGTGAGAGAGAAGGGAAGAACGACTTGGGAGCTCTATGAAGGTCAGGAGAGGAGCAGCAAACTCCCTGTGGAAAATGTTGTTGTGTGGGCACGGGTGTGTGCGAGAGAGAGGACCGGGAGTAGATCAATGAGAGGAATAAATAGGCACTGACAGCAAGCTCAGATATCAGAGACATGGATACTAGCAACTCCTAAATACATGGACAAGTCCTTGCTCATCACACATGCAAGAACAGTTAGCAGTTTACTAGTTATTGACAGATTAGTAAAGGATGTATTTTATTCACCCACGAAGTCCTGCTGTAGCACTGCGATACAGTAACACAGTAAATCCTTAGCTCTTACATGTAGTACACAGTATGTGAATGTGATGGCAAGGCTTCAGTGACCTTGGTCCTGCCTGCCCGAGGCAAATTTAGACTGATCTAGATCAGCTGTGAGGTGCTCATGCTGCTTCGCTCTAACAGAGGGAGTAATAGCCAAGGCAAACACCCTCATTCATCTCTGAGCATCTCGCATAATACCACCTATCATTAACGATGCTACACTGCTTAAACAGATGAAGATGAATCTGACAGACCAGGAGACGGAGAGAGAGAGTGAGTCAACAGAAAAACTGCAAGGATCAGGAGCACTTCAGCCATGCAGTGGTTCGCCAGGTGTGTGTTTTTTTTTCCTTTTGTACAATTCCAGCAGTGGAGTTTCAGTCCATGATGACGAGATAAGCAAAATGTGCTGCTATTGCAAAATGTGCGCTTGAGAATATATGTAAATTATCATATGTCTAACTTTGCACTGACATACTGTGATTGTGACTTTCACCTAAAATCATTTTAGTCAGTAAACAAACATGGGACAGATTAGATTGTGAATAATTGCTCTGTAATCATGAAATAATCTCAATACTGATCAAAATAGAGATTATCATATTGGCCATAATCGTGCAGCCCTATTATAACATGATATATATTTATGGCAGAAAAGGTTTTGGATTAGATTTGCTTTCATTTAGGAAAAACGTGTTAACATTTAGAAAAGACAATGGTGACTGAGGAAATTTAGGTTTACAGCAGGATGCGTGAGACTTTCACCACCTTACCAAAACTCACAAAGGGAAGCGCTAACATCGTTCCACAGCAGCCACACTGACCAGGCTTACTGCAGATGTATCTTAGACATTTTTATTAATTTTTGTGAGCGTAGGTATCGAATCATCAGTTGGTGTATTGTTACATCCCTAGTAATAAAGTTAGAGCTATAATCCTATAGACATAGTTAACCACCTGTCAAGATTTATTATCTTATTTTTATATACTAGACTAGTGTTGATCCATTCACTTGTTTATAAGATATTCAATAACCTTGTCCTAGATTCTTAATAATAGATTTAGACATACAAATATACACTGCGGATGGATGGTATTGGAAGACTGACCTGTTTGTTGACGTCAGCTCCAGCCTGAGTCAGCCACAACACACACTGAGGATGTCCTCCAAATGCTGCAGTGTGTGTTGGCGTCTGATTGAAGCGGCTTGTCACCGCGTTCACCTCACAACCCATTTGCACCAGGCGCACCACGCACTCCAGCTTTTTGCATGTAAACACAGAACACAAGCCAATAATGAGACTACTGAAAACATCCGTTGGTCAACAAATAATCAAGTGAACCATTACTATCAGACTACTGATGGGAGCATTATGATGTGCACAGATTCACTTTTATTGTAAGTTATCTCCCACAACTCCATTAGAATATCAGGTAATATGGTTAATAATAAGATTGTGGTAATGTGTATGTAATTATCAGTTAGGCAGTCAGAGGACAACCAAAGGGGGGTTTATGTAGTGTCCAGGGGTCAGAGCAGGCAGGCAGTAACACAGGAAGCTAAGCACCAAGTGACTGTACAGCAAGTTTGTGTGTCGCAATAAAACTAAAGCTCTGGAAATTTTTTATGCTAAAATTGTGTGTTTACTAGACACTTGTGGCCATCACATTTGAAGATATTCAGTCATTTTTATCTTGTCTTTTTGGCCTATTTGGTGTTGAGATAATCCAAAAGTAACAAAAAGTAATCAAGTTATGTTATTTTAATTAATAATTTCATATTTTTGAAAATGCCCCTCCCAACTCTGGTTAGATCATCACATGCTTTCCTGTTTTCCTGGAGCTGTTTTGGCGCCTGAATAGCCATTGGCTCCTCTGGAACCAATAAAAATGCTGCAACCCACTACTTTATTTATTAAATTTTTTTTCAACCAATACAACTTTATTGTACAGTACCAATCAGACATAACTGTATACCAACCTCCAACACTCGGCGGAAGCTTCTGGACCGACAGACTTTACTAATTTCCATGAAATATCAACCTTTTGAAATTTGATTAGTTACTTCTGTCCACTTCCATGTTGCTATGGCTGAAAAGTCACGCAGCCGTGATTCAGGTTTACTGCAGTTAAATTAAGTACTTTATGGTATAATGCAACTTATGCAGGACCAATGTGAGTTTTACCCTTCATGAAGACTAACACTTGGTGGCTAAATCTCTTAATCTAGCTACTAACTTAATCCCTACCTGTCCGTAGTGAGCAGCCCAGTGTATGGGGGTCCAACCGTGGCAGGAGTCCTCAACAGTTAGATGAGGCTGGTCTGAGAGCTGCTGTGACAGTGAGACCAAAGCTCCAACATCTCCATCCCGACAAGCGCGGTGGAAGGGAAACCGGCTCATAAACACCTCGTCGCTGGAAAAATCGGCTTCTAGTCCCACAGACATGAGTGAACTATGAAAGTGGCAGACAGAAACGTTTCTCTTCAGAGTTCCCGGTTCCACAGAGCAGACTAAAAAAGGTTCAAACACAAAGGAAGAGGAGATAAGCTCTTCTGCCCGGCGGGAAAATCACAAAATCCGGACTGGAGTCTGGCATTGAGCGCACCTCGAGCGTCGAGGCAGTTCATTCGGTTTTAGCTAAACAGTGGTCAGGAGCAACATCCGCCGGTGTGCCCCCTACAGGTCGGAGGGAAACTTTTCAATTATACACACAAGTAAGGAACATTATGAATCAAATTATCTTTCTTTGAATATGTTCATTGTGCTGTGTACAACTCTGGGCTATTCCCTGCGTTTAACGTTTCTTAGCTAGCTAACTCTTTGGAGTGAAGGTACTAAACAATTGATGCTAACAATGCTAACAATCCCACAGAAGACACCAACCATAATATGTCAGCAGTGTCACTGCGCGGGAAGTCACTGGCTGTGAGTCATAGAACAAAGGCACAGGCAAAGAAACAGGTAACTACTCATCAGCTCTAGAAACACACCTTCAATCTAAATTCAGGTATTCACTTGGACAGTTATTTCTATTGTTTTGGCTCTACTCCACTACAAACCAATACCTGTGAAATGATTGTTACAAATAAAGAAAATACATATTACAGACAGAGAATTGTATGAAAAAAGTTCCTAAATATATGAACGTAAACACTGATGTAGTATTCACAGGAAACAATCTGTTAGAAATTCCCCCATATTGTTTGTTGTACACAAACTTCCTGTAGTTATTGTTTTTATTATTTGGGTTCATTGTACAGTTTATCAGTCAGGACTCCTGACTGAGGAGTCATACCCAATGATAGAAAAGGGGCACCTGATGTTGACCCTGTGTTGTGTGCAGATTACTTTTTCGCTAGATGGACAGAGTATTTAAAATACTATTTTAACATCCTTTCAGATCCATGTCTGTATTGAGGTGTATCTTTTTTCTTTCAGGAAGGCTTTGTCAGAGTGAGGAAAAGAGATTTAGACAAGTTAACCACAGAAGTCATGCAGCTGAGGGAGTTCCTGCCCAGAGTCCTGAACAGGGACCTGATCGAAATGCTGCACAAAGCTCGAGCAGCTCAGACAAGTACGCTCCCATTAAACTTAACCTTGAGGCAAAAAATAATTTAATAAGGTGGATGCCATGTCAGCTTATGTGTGTGTTATTTAGTAACTGTAAGAAAAGGGTTAAGACATGGAATGATGATAGCTGAAGACATTTGAACAGTTAGCTGAGAGGCTGTAAGGTAGAGAGAACGTGAGTCTACCACAGTAGCCAAAACAACGATGGTGAAGAATTTGAAGAACTGGGGTTAGGCAGGTATGCAGGTGATCAGGGAGCCTAGAGCCAGGGGAGTGTAAAATCACGCCAAAACACAGACACACAGAGAGAGAGAGACAGACAGGGGAGTGGAAGATTCAGGTTGGGTCACAAGGCCTTCTTGATTTTAAGGAGTGTAAGAAAGCTCTTTTTTAAAACATACCGTAGGCTTAGTATATTTCAGCATTTCATGAATTTCTTTGAAGAAGAAAAAATGAAACTGTTATTTTTAAAGTTTAGATTATTTTTTAAGATATAAACTTTTCATAGAATAAGAGCACAGTAAAGACCTGAACACAAGCAGTATTCACAGAGCCTTTACTCGCTGCTTAACAGCATCATCCTGCATTACAAAAGTACGCAGTTTAAACAACCAAAGAGCTAATAAAACAATGGCCAAGTGTCACAGAGAATAAAACACAAAACTTTTTGAAAAAATAGGTTTAGAGAGTTGTATAGAAAAAACTCATCTCTATTGCTATATTCACAGGAATATTATCTTTTTAATAAGATTAATAGAGTAAAATTATTCCCGCAGATCCTTAAAAAGTCTTAAAAAGTCTTGAATTTAACTTTCCTTAAGCTGTAGGAACCCTGCTTAATAACACTAATAAGATGAGCAAATGTACATTGTGTTTAATAACTGTGGTATACGGTGGCAACCATGGATGCATTAGTTTCTGTTCGATGGGCTTTGCCATCGCTGTGTGAATGTGTGTGAAAAGGGTGAATGTGGCACGTAGTGTAAAAAAGCGCTTTGAGTGGTCGGAAGACTAGAAAGGCGCTATACAGGTCCATTTACCCATTTACCATTTTTGCTGCACACAAACAGGCCAGAAAACCAAAACAATAAGCTAAAAAACGCCAAAAAGCTCTACAGTGCAGACTAGTCCAGACTGCAGAGTCGCTTATAATTCTCTGTAGATCTGTGTGTTACACCCTTTTACATTATACATAGTAATTTAATCCATTCTTAATAATTATAGAAAAAAATGATTGGAGGAGCTTTGGTTTCCTACAAATCTGATTGATCACAGAAGGACTGGTAGCTTTTTCAGTCATAGGTGGTCGTACGTGCACATGGGGTCAAAATTATTTCAACATCTATATAAAAGTAAATCACACCACGTTTATGTGTGTGAGATTTAATGTGTGAATTTTATTGTAAACTTCCGAGCGAAAGCTGCAAAATCAGAGACAAAATTCAGAGTGCATCTCCACAGCATGACCTTTTGGAAAACTAAACTCAGTAAATATTTCATGATGGTGCCTATGGCACCATCTTGTTTATGTGCAATCGCAGATTAGAAGTATGGATGGATGAAGCAGGTCTTGCATCAACTGAGCGCAGAGACAGCTCAGGGGGAGGCAAATCTTGGACCGCGGGAGTCCAGCTTGTTAGCACGCTGCTGGGCTTTGTTCGTCATGAAATCTTTACGCATAATTGGATGTTATGAAGATTAATGTGCATTAGTTGTACTGAGCCGCAGGAGAACTGCAGAAGACTTTCTCAACAGCTGTCTGTGGCCTCTTTAGTGCTGAAAGTTTTGCCTTGATTGCTTGATGCTGTTTGATTACCTGATTGATCAGCTGAGTGACTGATTTCTGTCATTCATTCACTCACATCTTACCCAAACAGTTCTGTTCAATCTGTACCAAACTGTGCCCCTGCATTACCCCAGTGATGATCTGCAGTTTGTCTTCACTATAATTTACTGCAAATTACTCCAATTAGAGAATGCATAGGAGCGACTCTAATTGTATGTTTCACTCTCATTACTATTATTTCCCCATGTACACTGTAGACTCTAATATATCCAATAATGAATCAACCACAGAAACCTTCCATACATAGTGTTCCTTGGAGTAAAATCATATTCACTGCAGACAGAATGTACCTGCAGTGTGTCCGGTTTGAGAGTCATGGAGCTTCACGGAGGACATGGGGAAATACAGGAATATATATTAGGCGGGAGGATAAAAAAGGCAGACTTTTGCATTCTTACCTTTTGCAAAAGTTTCAGTTCTCTCAAAAAAGTTTTCCGTTGTTTCACAAAACTGTTTCTCTTGCAAAGTTTTGCATTGGCTTGCTAAAGTTTTGTTTCTCAGAAAAAAAGTTGTGTACTTTAAAAAAACTTTCTTTTCTCTCACAAAAGATTTTTTTGTTCTCCCTCAAAGATCTTTTTCTCAAAAGTCTTCTCCCAATTATCCACAGAGGTCTCCTCCTCTCCAAAACAAACGGACCCACTGATTAAAACCGCAGTTCCACCTTAAAAATCACTGCTTCTCCCACGCTGTTGGACAGACAAAGGACGTCCCGGAGGGGCTGCGAGCCGAGCTGCTGCTAACGTTAGCTCAGCTTGTTTCTC